GGCGGGCACATTGTCTATGGCCGTTTGATGTCTTTTGCTATTTCGAAATTGGAGGGAATTTCGGAATGCTGAACATCGAATAGTTTGGTAAATAGTATTGTGTTCGTTTAATAAATACGGCAAGCGATGCAGCGACGTCCGCATTCTTATGGCTTACTGAATTATGTTCTCATATTGCGTACTTGCTTTAATGTTCACCCTCAGTACTGTCCTCTTGACCATTACGAATACTGACTTTGTACCTAAGAAAGGGAGCTTTCATATATAAGACAATACTCTACATAACTTCCAAATTTCGCTACACGTATGGATGCCGTTGAAACTGTTTAAACAAAAGACTGAATTGTGGTGGAGTTTGTGAAGTTAAATCATATTACCGCTAAATTCCAAAGCTACTATATATGCTTTGTTTATATAGGTAATGATCATTTAATGTTATGTCAGGGTAATGTAAAAGGTAAGGTAAAGCTATCCCTGTAACAGGCCGAGGCTCCCACATCTTCTAGACAGCCAGCAAGGTTGTCAGCCTTACACACCATCCTCCCTTTACCCCGAGCAAGATTCCTGGTACTCATTTCTGTTAGAGGCTGAGTCGATCCCAGGGCCATAGTGCGGCTGGAAGGATTAGGTCAATTGAAAATGTCAGGTTAGTGTAGGTTTTGAAAGTTGCTGGGAGCCGTACCATAGCTCAGGTGGTTAGTCGCAGTCTTACCACCACAGAGACCAGGCTCAGTCCCATGTTAGGTCATGTGGCATTTGTGGCGTCCAAAGTGGCACGTGGATATGTTTTGACGAAGTACTTCCGTTTCCCTTGTCAATTCATGTATAGTCTCGTTATTGACGGCGTCGCTAGGTAACAAACAAATGAAGTTGTTGGACTGTTGTTACTTTTACATGGTTCAATCCGTTTAACATCGTTAACAAATGTCAATATCACTGATAGTTGTACATACACGTATACACATGTGCTTGCAAGCGCAGTAGTATTTAAATGAAGTCTGTATTTACTTTCCTTCATTCTATAGTTATTTAATTTTTTAAATTATTTTTAATTCGCTTAGTGGGGGGTGGAGTCCAACTGGGTCCACTCGGCATGGCGGCCACTGATTGGCCTATTATAGCCTGCCCCGGGCGATTATGATGATGGAGAATTTGGTGGAATGAAGATTGGCAGGGGAAACCTAAGTACTCGGAGAAAACCTGCCCCAGCGCCACTTTGTCCACCACGAATCCCACTTGACCAGACCCGGGACCAAACCCGGGCCGCTGCGGTGGGAAGCCAGCGACTAACCGCTTGAGCTATGGCGCGGCCTTCTATAGGTATTGGTTTCCTCATTAAATCGTAGATGTATTATATTTATTGCTTATTCATTTAAGTCTTGCATGGGGATGATTGGCCAACTTTGGCGCATAGAGGGTGTCGCGTGGCCAGCGAAACGAACCCCCACTGCCATTAATTTCGGTTTCTAGACTGGAGCCGCTATTTCCTTGAAATAGCTCCTCGGTTATTCTCACGAGGCTGAGTGGACCCCGTTCCAGACCTACAACTTCTCACAAAATCTGGTAGCGCCGGGAATCGAACCCGGACCTCTGGATCTGTAGCCAGGAACTCTGACCACTAGACCACAAGTTGGCACTAGCTTCGCCGACAAGCGGTGGTCGCTCGGTCGGTATAGTTCGCTTGTGGACTAAAACCACGGAATTTGTTTTTTGTTTTGTTTAGATGGAGGACTGGAGTGGCAGAAAATATCACAGCTGTTTTAATAAATATATTATTGTGTTTCTTCTCATAATGTTTCCAGGAACATAATGTATATATAGGCAGCACATAATGCACTGACTGTGATGAAAGGAAGCTTTTTAATTGCAAACCAATTGGAACACAATTAATTATTAGTACCTCTGTGATTCGTCCTTTTGTGATGCTTAATACTGTCAGACAGATTAAACCCATGCTGTGAATATGTATAATTATACAGTTTAATTCTAAAGGTATGGTGCACATCATTAAATATAGTGCATGCTTATAGAAGATTTTCATTTGGTAGGTCAGCCGAATGTCTCTGTCATTCAGGCTTTATGCAGCCAAAAAGGACAGTTTAAACGAAATTTATTTAAGTGTTCACTTATTATGTGTTAATGAAATTTTTGCACCAGGATGGTTCCATTTGAAGGTATACCCAAGGTATTCTCATCCAAATTTAAAGCGCAGTTCAGACTGAAGCCGCCACTGGATATTATGCTAGTTCAGTACTATTACTCCAGATTTATTTAAAAGCGTTTAGTAAAATATAAGTAACATATCAGCACTGGAAATATTCTGTTTCAGTACCAGTAATCACTGAATCTTTGTGACATTATTATTATTATTATTATTATTATTGGAGGGGGTGGGTTAACCCATGCACTGCGACCTGTTGTTGATCTATTGTACGCCCCACTTTGATATTATACCAGTCGCCATACCCTACCGATACTGGTGCGTGCCATTAGCCCCGTTCAGCCAACGAGGTCGGCCCTCGGTACCCGATTCTTCCCCCATCTACCAGAGGCATTTGAAACTACTTGGGCAGGAAACTTTTTTTGCCTAATTTTGCTCAGAGGTCTCCTAGAGACATGAGGATCTTTTACGCAAATCTGCGACACGGGACCCACGGTTTTAAGTCCCTCCCGGAGGACTTGTTCCCTGAATTTTTCCGCCCTTAAAAATTCCACGACCTCCGGCGGGTTTGAAGCCGCATACCTTGAGTCATGAGATGGGATCGTTACCCCTAGACTACGGAGGCCGCTGTCTTTGTGACCTAACATATGGAACTGAGACAGTGACATATTGTGAACCCTTTATCCTTAATTTGTGGGGCAGTTCCCTCTCATGAAGAAATTGTGGGTCCCTGACTCCTTATAACATTTGGGATCACAGTCTGTAGCATGGAGGCTGTAGAACATCAACAGTTGCAAACAGTAACTTCAGGAAGTTAACACATATAAATGTTTGGTCACATAATCTTGTGATTAGTGAGTACTAGATAAACCTAGCACAGAGGGAAGGGTAATGTTAAAGTGCATATCCAAGAGACAGGGTGTGAGATTGCAGAGTGGATCGGATGCCTGGGAACAGAGTACAGTACTGACCTCTTGTGAATACAGCAGTGAATCTCTGAGTTCCATAAATGGCAGGGAATTTCTTATCCAGCTGAGTGATAGTCATTTTCATTTTCACCATTAATTTAATCTGAAAATTAAGTACAATTTATCCATATTTTTCTCATTCATAATTTTAACAGTTCATGGATTTTGAACATTTTGTGTGTGATAGTGCAATTTTTGTTTGTTCTGCAGCTTAAGTATAATGCAGTCAAAGTAAAATAGTTCTTTTAAATAAATAAGGAATCACTAATGACTTCTAATGAATCTTTTGGAATATGATGTTATGTGGTCCAGTAGAATTTCACTGACTTTTTGGAGGAACTCCTAAGAGTAAGCCAAGAAAGCACCTAGCAAGCATCTTGCTTGGCATATACTTCAGCCTCAGAGATCGAGCAGTACATTCTCTGAAACGTAGCGAACTTCTACCAGACTATATGGTGTCACATCAAAGAAGATAATTCCTTTCAACAACTTTAAGTAAAACCTATTAGTCGAAGTATATTTTGATAATTTTGGATTACTGTGGTTTGAACTTTTTATCTGCCACGACTGGGGCTTAGGGAGAGAAGGTTACATATACCGAAACCGTATGGGGCCTCATTCTGTATAATACACAGGAAGGTACAAACACTTCATACAGGTTGAGACTGTAGTGATACTCAGATGAACTATAACTGGTATGTTGATTTCTGTGCTACATGTCACCACCGCATTCAGTTTATAACATACATGCAAATTGCAGTAAGATTTATTTTAACAATACCACTGACTTCCAGTAATATGAATGTTATTGCTGGGATATTTGGTTGAAGTAGAACATGCATCAATTTCCGTATGGTGTGATACTTGGCTTTAGTTCATATCAAGAAATAATCATCTCCTGTTGCTGTATCGTTCAGTTTCATTCACTGGCCTATGAAAATGTATTATGTGGCATACTTTTTGTGTTTCTGTCTTAAAATTGCACTTTTATGTCAGTAAATAATTCCTGCAACCTGACCATTTGTCTGGAATGAAACCCCTACCCACCCTCTAGATTCTAGATTTGTTGTTTACAACAAAGATAAATTCAAATTAAATTCTGATGTCTATAACATGAATACTAGACAAAAATATAACTTCCACCTACCGTCATCAACTTTATCAGTATATCAAAAAGGAGTCTACTTTACTGGCATAAAAGTGTTCAACAATCTGCCACAAAGTATTAAAAACTTGGGCAATGATACTAAAAAGTTTAAATCAGAGTTAAAGAATTATCTACATGCTCATTCCTTCTACTCTTTAGATGAATACTTCAATGTAAATAGAGAATGATGTAAAATTAAGTTATAATAATTTTTAAGCTAAAATTGCCTGTACTTATGTATGTAACCTTTTGACTTGTTCTGTATCCAAAGGTACTAACCTGCTTAGGATTTATAGAATGTAAATAAATTCAATTCAATTCAATTCATGATGTACTTAAGATCAGTGGTGAAATAATGAAATTAGAAACATATAGGACACACATCTGACTTTCTTTACAGACCTGTCACAAACACTCAAGTTTCAAAGAAAATATATGGTTGGATAAAGAAGGGAAGTGGGGATTTTACAAGGTCACAAATGAAGCACAAAACGAATGTAAAGGGTCATATATAACATCTAGCATATACTATATAATGTATATCTGCTAGCAGTAATTAAGTTAGTGCTACAACTTATATCAACTTCATTCTTGAAAACTTAAATTTCAACATGCCACTTACAAGTACTTTTCATATATGTTATAATGTAAAAGATAAACATTTTGTTATTGAAACTGTGGAACATCTGCTAATATGTGTGTGTCTTTGCTTGTATGATTATAGTGGGTTGAGGAGAGTTTCACCAACTTCGAGAAGGGCATCAACTGGAGGTCATACGTTGTTTGCGATGTGGCTTACAACAATGTGAATAATTGGCTGTGGACGCCATTTGTGGAGCGAGGGATTGCAAACCGCATTTATATTGAGATCAAGTTCACAATCCGGGATTGTTCGCTGTTCCCGGGCAATGCACTGTCATGTAAAGAAACCTTCAGCTTGCTGTACTATGAGTTTGATGCAGCAACACGGGAACCACCGCCATGGGAACCAGAGAGCTACAAACTCATTGGTAAGTATCCATCCTGTTACTACAAACATCCTTCTTCCTTCATGTACCACTTCTTCTTTACAAGCTAGACAACTTCATGCCTGTCAGCTTTTGGTCTTCCTGTAGCTTCACAGTTATGAGGGCTATTCGGAAAGTAACCTCCAATTATTTTAGGCAATTAATGTACGAGCAGGGGAGAGCTTACACATGCGAGGTAGCGTCACATGACTCATTGCCTTGTAAACCATCACATAACTGGTCACCTAGTGTTTGTTCTTGTCTCATATAGTGTGTCCAGCAATTGAAAATCCCACCAGCTGTGAAATTCATGCTGTTATTCGCTTTCTTAAAACCAAAAAAATTATTGCTGCCGAAGTACATCATGAAGTGTGTGTGGTTTACAGCCAAGATGTAACAAGTGAAGGAACTGCAAGACAGTGGTGTCGAATTTTCAGAGATGGGCGAATAAATGTAATGTTCACGATGAAGAGTGAAGTGGTCGGCTGGCCGTCTTTAGTGAGTGATGATTGTGTTCAAAATGAAAGATGGCACTTTACAATTTCAGAAATTGCTTGTGAATTTCTTCAAATTTCATGCACCATCTTCTACAAAATTATCACAGTTAGGCTAGGCTATCACAAGTTTTGCTCAAGATGGGTCTCAAAAATGCTCATGGGTGCACGCAAAACGCAGAGAATGGTTTCAGCTTTGACTTCTTAGAACAGTCCCACAAAGATGGCGATGAATTTCTGGATCACATCAGAACAAGTGATGAAACTTAGGTTTCGTTTGTGAATGTTGAAATCAAAGAGCAGTCAGAGCCGTGGATGCACACACACATTCACCAAACAAGGCCCCCCCCCCAAAAAAAAAGTCTGCTTGCCAGAAAACTGATGGCAGCTGCTTTCTGGGGCAGGGAAGGAGTGCTAATGGTGGAATTAATGCAACAAAGGATCATGATACTGTCAGAAATGTATTGCAAAACATCAGAAAAACTATGTAGGGCCATTCAGAACAAAGGATGTGGAATGCTGACATACAGTATGGTGCTCCTCCATTGCAATGCATGTCTGCATGCAGCTGCTTGTACTCAAGCACCGCTGGAGCATTTCAGCTGGGAGTTGTACAGCCGTGATCATGCTCTGAACACTGCCACCTGTTTACCTAAGTGAAGAACTGTTTGGGATCACAGTGGTCAACGATAATGAGGAGTTGATGGAAGGTTTCAAAACGTGGTTGAGCTCACAAACAGCAGACTTCTTTGACACAGGCACAGAAAAGCTTATTCCCCGATATAACAAGTGCCTCAGTTTGGGGGGGGAGGTTGAATATGTTGAGAAGTTGCTTAAGTATGTACCTATTATTTGTATATAATAAAGTTTTTTATTCATTGCTTGTTTTGTTAACAGCTCAGCAGAGGTTCCAATTCTATCTGCCTCCTCCTGCATGCAGTAACCACTTCAACCATTCTGCTTCATAAAATATATCACATATTTCAACACTTCTTTTTTTTTATGTCTTGTCATGTGTGTTCAGCTAAGTGTCTTATTACAACTCTCATTTCTGCCACTTCTGTTCTTCTGTCTTTGCTACCCCACACCCATATCTTGCTATCATATTTTACCATTAATTTAATCAGTATTTTGATAATTTCAAGAATGGTCCCCTGGTTATTATTTTATCAAAGTGTATGTAAATTCATTTAGTGCTGCTAGCTTCGTAAGAATATGAATGTGCATCAAATGTAAATTTTTTGACTATGTCATCAAGGAGTAGTTAGTTAATGTATGAGTGCGTGCTGGAAGATAAAGAGTCAGTTTTGACACTCAGAAGGTTTAATGATGTGGCGGCAACTATCTAGATTGTATCCAGTGATGGTGTTCATGACACTGACTGAACAGTGACATTATTGGCAAAAGTGGGAAAATCACATTAGTGTTGTCCACTGGAAGATACGTTTGTTTCATAGGTCGAATAGCAGCAGGTGAGGGGAGGTTCAACACAAACAGTGAGGTGATCATCAACACAGAAGTAAAGTCCATTCCTGTCACGAAAAAAGGAGTGTACTTCGCCTTCCGTGACCAAGGAGCATGCATCTCACTTCTAGCCATCAAGGTACATATTTTCAAGTTTGTGTCTCAGATACTGTAGTTTAAGTAAAGTAATAGTTTGTAGATGTACCAAAATTTAATAAATATCTTTCTGTACCAGTATCACTGTGCAGTTTTTTTTTAATAAATGGTGTTAACAGCAATTAAGACTGATAATCTGTATTGTGAATTGAAATTTTCCACTTTTGAATATGGTTTGAAGACTGTACTTTGTGTTCTTTGTCCTTAATTAGCACTCTTATCTTGCTTGAATGGAGCACCACAGTTCATAAAATCGTTTATCACATGCTTTAGAAAGAAGTGTGATATACCTTCAGAACTGGTTTTTGGTCTTGTCCACTGTTCAGTATGCTAGAAACTAGAAATCACAATGTTTCGGAAACTGGATCTGTTTCTGGCCTCAGGTGAGGATTACGACCAGATTCTTATTATTGTTATTATTGTGGGTTTGATGATGTGGGGTGCTCTCTCTGACGTGGGGACTTGTCTGTCATTTACGTACAATTGCTGCTGACCCTCACCAGTTCAGTCATTCTCGGGTCGGGAGTCCCGTGGGTCCTGGGACCATATTTTACTGTCTCAGATTCAAGACTTCCCTTTTCATCACCTCCTATTACTCGTAGGACAACGGTGGAAGTGTTTGAGCCCACCTCTATGTCAAATTCAATGCAGATATTTAAATACACAAGACTTTGAAGGGAGATAACAGAAAAATACGCGATAAAATTGTGATAGAGCGCACACATTCGTGGATCTAGGATAGAAAGGGAGGTGAAATTTGTGCTACAAATTTAGCCAGTAAACCATGCCCATGAATACCAGTGCACAGAATTATATGGAGAATGTGTGAAAACATGTTGCGTCTACTGCTGGTGCCATCTGTGGAGTAAAATCTGAGTCTGAAAAGTGGTGAGGCAGTTCCAATTTTTAACCATATTGAGTTAAATTGAAAACTTAACCTTTAGTGTTGTGGAAAGTAAATCTTATGTTACCAGGTGTACTACATTACATGTCCTGAGGTTACGGTGAATTTTGCCCACTTTCCAACAACCCCAACGGGGCGTGAAGTGACATTCATTGAACAAGCATCAGGCAGATGTGTTGAAAATGCAGAAGAAGTGGATACTCCCACTTATCTTTGCAAGGGTGATGGAAAATGGTACTTACCTACTGGCGGATGCAAGTGCAAGGCTGGTTATGAGGCAGACCAAGAGAAGCAGACCTGCAATGGTAAATATGATTTAATCTTAGAACATACCTGTTCTTTAGAATCCATATACCTATTAGCCTATAAGTAACAGTCTTAACTGTAATATTTACACGCATAATTTCTTCCTCATTTTGCTTACGTAACCGCAAATTATAAGTTAGAAAATATTCAGGTATTTACCACACTGTAATAATTGAGGTATTATTACTAACTCTGTTTGCTTTATTTGGTATTATATTCAGTTTTTTAGTTAACTTCAAGAGACATTTATGAATTTAAAATACTGCATAATTAGGTGTATTAACTGTCTTTAGCAAATTTATGTTGGTACATGCCAGTGGGTATTTTATGCCTAGTGAGTGGAGTGTTGATATCGAGAAGCAGTGATCAAGACCTGCATTTTTATTTTTCAACAAAAAAATGCCAATATACATAGAATTAACGAAAACTAGGAATTTCAACCTCTTATTGCCTAAATTTAACCAGTTCTTTTATATTTTTCTAATTTATGATATAAAAGTAATAGTACAGAATACCGTTTGTGTTTTGGAAGGAAAGGCACTTATTCAGAGGAATCAGTTATTTGTTTGATAGCAGTCTCATACAGTTCCCCTGGGTGGCATTTCTGGAAGGAAAGACCTTACACACAGAGTAAAAATTCTGTTTCATATTTTCTTATTATCCTTAGGAATGGTCAGTAAGGGATGAGGGTATAACTAGTTTGTACTTTGACACAAAATAATGCATGTCTTAACAATCTAACACACTAAAACTGTGATAGCTTGCCATATCCCATTAATCATATGGAAATATTCTCTAACATGTAAAGCTGTACTTTGTCCAATCTTGATCTGGCATGTAACTGGCATGAAGACTAACATCTGTGTGATTGGCTTTTGTTTTCTGAAGTTTGCCCTCCAGGTAAATACAAGCATGCTACGGGAGATGAACGTTGCCAGCCTTGCCCAGACCATAGCAAGGCACCTGACTACGGATTCTCTGAGTGCCGATGCAACTCAGGGTACTACAGGGCAGCTAAAGATCCCAAGAACATGCCTTGCACGCGTAAGTTCCAGTTATTTCTCAGCATGTAAACTGTAAAGATTATTGTCTTTTGGGATGTGGCACTTATTTTGATACATATGTACTAACGTTCTGAAAGATTAGCTGCCTACGTCTTCAGATTAGAAGTTTCTCCGAAATGTTAGAATCTGTCTAAGAAATAATGTGGTGTCACATTTTCAAGTTCATAACCTTCATTGCCATCACAGTGGAAAGCTGAAATCTCACATGTAAACTGTACTGGTAAAGGAAAGGTATAGCTATCCCTGTAACAGGCCGTGAAGACCCATAGGGTTGTGAGACATTGAGGCTCCCACATTTTCTCTAAGACAGTCGGCCCACAGATGGCAGTAAGGTTGTAACCCTAATGCACTGGCCACCCTTTACACCCCCAGGAAGATTCCTGTACTTTCCCAAAAATGCAATTAGAGGTAAAGTAGTCATTTGCCTAAGCACAGACTATGTATGAGGGCCAAGTCAAAAGTAATGAGTAGCTTCAGTTTATACATGTTTTATTGACAGAAGATAGGAGTTAATGGCTAATAGATGTATGTGTGTTTTGTGGTCTGAAATAAGATCCAGCACACACATGCTGATACTTATCCAGAATTCATTTGGGCAGAGTGGCTGCAAATTAAAGTGACCATTAATCCCAAAATAAGACATGTCCCGATTGATTTTGCCCCTGATTTATTAAATCAATTAATGCAATTTGAAAAAAAAAATGAACTGAGATAGCTCAGCTTCTCAAAATAGTTNTTTATATTCATATTATTGAACAGTATCTTAAATCTGGATTTACATAACAAGTGTACTCTGTGGCCACAGTTTCTCTCTGACACTTAAACGCGTGAAATTCATTGTAATAGTACAATAAATTCGGTTCCTGCTACATGGAAAACATGGTGCATGTCTGTTACAAAAACCAGCCAGTAAATGCTGTTCAGGGAAATAATGGATGTTTATTCTGAGGATTATGTGAAACATAATTACAGTATATAGTTAGAAGGCAGAGTTAAAACATATAGCATAGGTAGTAATCGCTGTGCTTTAAAGGGTTAGTGTAGTAAACAACAATGAAGATGTGAATTCTTAATTAGTACACACACATTTTAAAAAGGCATTCTTTTTTATTTTATATACTTTATTGCCCTTATTGTTTATATTTTCAGACATACGGCTATCATTTAAAAGTTAATCACAGTACAGTTATTACATACAGACAGATCATTTTCTTTTGCTTTTCTTTAAATATTTACTTACGAAAAATGTTTCAGATATCCAGTTTAGCAAGATATAATGCAAATGTACAAATGGCCATTATTTAGAAATTTGATGAAGTTCTATTTGACCAGTAGAAACCCATCCAGCAACACTGTGTAGATCACCAAAACCAGATTTCACTTAAATCCAGTGAGTAGTTTTGGGAAATTCAGTGCATACATACAAATACAATGTAATATTCTCAGACACTGTGGAAAGAATCCATATGATTTTTTTAAGTAGTTTTAATTCATATACAAAGCTGGAATAGTGTTAGTACTGAAATTCCATTCTAAATAGAACTTGTGTGTTACCGATGAAACATAAGGTTGCATTTTCATGAGAATGTTCATGTCGGTTATGACTCTTATGGTTAGAGGAAGGTGCAAGGGTAAGTAAGAAATGAGATATATAGGGTTAAGGTCCTCATTTTCCTCTGTTGCCTGAAAAGCATATAGTGAAGTAACACCATTAGCATGCCATGATATCACCTCATAGCTTGAGCAGACTATTCAGTAAGTACAGGTGGGAGGGTGGATAGGCCAGGGGGTGAATTTGGGGAAGTAGGAAGGAGGAAGAAAGACAAGCAGACACCCACCCTCTCATTAGCCAGTTGGATGGATATATCTATCCCTAACCTCTACATACCTGCTTCTGACAGTAGCTTCCACTACCTCTGGTACAGCCACTTGTGGTCCTTCAAACAAGGCAGTTCATTAAAAATATTGCATAGTGAATTTTGGAAAGGAATTTTCATATTTCAAGCCCTGTTGCAAGCACCTCATTAAGACAGCTGACTTGGTATCTTTATGATTTTCATGAGGAAAGAAGTTGTGTTTCCAGGAATGTCTGAAGAACTGTATTTTCAGTTCATATTTAAGAGTTAATTTCTGTATTCTGAGATCAGTAAAATTCCGGGTCAGGTACAGAGCCCCAGTTAAAGGTTGAGATTATGCTGACATGCTTGTAATCAGGCCAATTGCACATTTTTGGGTCAGTAATGGGTAAGTATTGAGCATTGGTAGAATGATGATTTAAGGGCAAAATTGAAGTACTTGGAGAAGAACATGTTCCCATGGCAGTGTTTTCACAAGTTCCATGCATTTGTAGAAAAGTTACTAATGACAATTTGTTCTTGTACACAGAACCACCATCGGCCCCACAGAATCTGACAGTAGGGTTTGTGGACCAGTCGACAGTAATTCTGTCGTGGACACCACCTCACTTCCAAGGAGGAAGAGTGGACACTGTATATAGGGTAGAGTGTGATTCATGTGGACCTGGGGTCTCATACAATCCTAGTGCGGTGAGTATACAATGTGTTATAGCACATCTGCATTCTATAGAAAATCAGATGTCATTTCTGACTATTTTACCAGTTGCTTCAGTATTCTGCCATAGCATTGGTGCCTAGAGGCAATATTTGTACCTGTGAATAAGCAAGTACTGTGAGGAGGGGGAAATTTGCTTAACATAGAGCTTCATAAATTGTGCTGTTCATCTGATATTGTTATGTGATTAAATCAAGTGGAATTAAATAAGATAGGACATTTAGTACTCATGGCGTATATAAAGGGACACAAAATATATTATGAAAAGGCATATGATATTATTTATGAGAACTAGGCATAGAAGGCAGGATTTTAGTGTAGATTTTAGGATTTAGAGTGTTAAGTTATTAACAGGATACAGCTGGTTAAGTAGTGTCCAGTATTGGGTTTTTATGTATGTATGTATGTATGTATGTATATATATATATATATATATATATATATATTGTAACGTGTTTCGTTACTGAAGACGCCGTAGAGATGGTTAAGTGGTTTATTTAACAATCTTCAAATAACGGCTACAATTAATTATCACAATATTACGGGTTTCCACACTTTACAAACCCTACAACAAAATCTCTTAACACTATCTTCAAGAGACTTCACGTATTAATAACGCGGGAGCTATACAAGTCTCCCTGAATTACACACTCCAGATATAACTGGTTATCACTGGTTATCGNTGCGCAACATGTCACAATATATATATATATATATATATATATAAAATGATGTACCTTTGGGTTCTGTAAAGGCAGGAAATTTCTTGCCCATCCGGGTAACTATTAGCATTTGAAGGATAATTAAATGCAGTGGATTTAGTTACTTAGTCACATAATTCGGGCATACAACTCTGATAACGCCAACAGCCTTAAAATGATCAACTACTTATTGAGGAGGATTGTACTCTCATGTGAGTGTGTTGCTTTGTTATTTGATTAATTATTGACTTGGGCAGGTAAGTACATAGCGTGTCAAAGTTTTGCTAGGACTGTGTTCATTAAAAATACAAGACGTGAATTATTTTCAAAATTTCACCCTTTTTATTCAAAATAGTCACCTTCTGAATCAATACATAGCTGGAATCGATTGAAAAGTTTTTGAAAACAGTCACTGTACTCCTTTTGTGGAATCATGTTTAAAACTGTGGTACATTTCCTTTGGATGTCCTGTATATTGTCGTGACGGTTTCCTTTCATCGCCAACTTAACTTTTTGGAACAACCAGAAATCAGTTGGAGCCCAACCTGGCGAATATGAAGGATGATCAAGGGCTGTGATCCCTTTTCTGGCCAAAAAAATTGTGCACGAACTTTGATTTGTGGGGTGGGGCATTGTCATGGAGGAGTGACCAGGAACCTTAGTCTCGATATTCAGGTCAAATTCGAAAAATTCTCGCCCACAAACGATTCCTTGTGAATGATTCATTTGGAATCGAAGAAAACCGTTAGCAGTGTCTTTACTTGATTCTTTTGCATGCACACTTTCTTTGGTTTCAGCTTCTTTGAGCTTAACCACGCTGCACTCTGCCGCTTTGTGAGAGGCTCATGTTGAAAACACCATATCTCATCACCAGTTACAATCGATTTTGTAAATTTTGTATCACTTTGGGCTGACCATAACATGTCTTTGCAGTGTTCAACTCTCATGTTTTTCATCGCCTGACAGTGCGTGCAGTACAAAAAGCGTGCAGACCTTCTGTTTGCCCAAATGCTTGGTCAAAATTCGATGCACAGTACTTTTTGGTATTCCCAAAAACTCCTCGATGAGTCTTGCAGACACACACGTGTCTGATGCAAGAATTTCGGTCACTTTTTTTTCACATTTTCTTCAGTGCGACTTTCTCTTGGCTTTGATGCACGTGGAGCGTCTTCAGTGTCCTCCCTTCCGTCACGGAATACAGCATACCATCGAAAAATGTTCGAGTGACTCAAACAATCACTACTGTACACACTTTTCATCATTTCGTATGCTTCTCTGGCTGTTTTGCCTAATTTCAAACAAAATTTGATGTCGGCTCTCTGTTCAACCTCCATTTTCCAATGAGCATCAGAACAGTACTGTTACATTGAAGGTCAGAACACATGATGCAGCAGTGCTTGCACTTTGAAATTATAGACAGCCACAGGTAAAACTTCAAGAATCTTAATGCCACAACTCACCAACAGATGGCTTTGCAGGGCAAAATTTAAAAAGATGAGTCGTAACAGATCCTGGACACACCGTGTAGGTAGTTGGGTAGTCAGTCAGCAGTCAGTTCAGTAATCAGTTTTTCATGCTGTGAAAAATAATTGTGAGATACTTGTGATTATCAGACAAAAGTAAGTGTAATGTAGCAAAACAATGCAACTTTTATACTGTAAGTTTTCTTTGCTTAAGTGTACACGTATGTATTGTCATGTGATTGAGTTACTGTATAGGGGGTTTAGATTGGTAATTGGATTTATTGAACTCTTTGATATATTGAGTGAGTACATGTTATAGTTCACACACACACACACACACACACGTGTCCAAAGTCATGTCTTCATTAGCCGTTGCTTGGTAGTGGCTTCTAATGGCAGACAGTCCCCTTCCTCTGGGTTCCTGAACTATATCCAGTCTCACCTGCCAGCATCTCACTGCAGCAGCTTACAGCAACTAAACCTCAGCAGTTCACTGACTGACTGACTGACTGACTCAGTCACTCACCAACCAACCAACTCAACTCAACTCAACTCACATGACTGACTCCTCTGACTGTCACTAAATGCCTTGCTTTTACATCTTGGCATGGACCACACAGAAGACACTGTTTCTCTGTTGCTGTTTATAGCAATGACCCTTGTCTGCTTGTTTATTTCGTGGTTGTTTCCTAGTAACAGGTCTACATGCACAGTATGTATGCTAAATGTGAAGTTTAGGCACCTCACCATGAAGATATAAAATATATATAAAAGGGATTAATTTGTCAGAGAAATTGCTGCCACTTTCTGTTTTTAATAAAATGCATTAATATTCTCTGTTATTAATCACTTAATGTCACTTGGTGGAGTGCCTATAGGCTTGGTTTGCAATGATATCTGGATTTATCAACCACTTATAGATCATAGGTAAAAGTAACTGTAGTGCTGTTGCTAATTCACACACTCAGCAGTTCACTATAGCATAAACTAAGTCTTCTCAGTCTGTTACAGTCTGCATTCATTGTTCCCTGGTAATGGCTTCCAATGGTGGGCGTTCCCCTAACTCTAGGTTCTTGAAGTATCCCTGTGCCTCAGCTACCAGCTTCTAACAGCAACAGCTGTCAGTGACTGAACTGCAGTTCTCTCACTCACCAACTCACCAACAAACTCGCTTCCCTGACTGCACTGCGTTAAATCTCAGGCTGGCAGCTGTTTCACACCAACCTCCTACTCTTCTTATTGACTCAAACTCAACTAAATAAACTCAAGGCCTGTCCTGCCTATAACACCTTGACACGGACCGCATAGGAAACACCGCTCATTGTTGTAGTTCAATTGCTGTGGGGACATCTTTGTTTGCAAAGCAAAGCAACCACTTGGGTCTGTGTGCTACAGTATTATTTATGCATTTAGATATTAATGGCTGACACACTGTGATGAAGAAAGAAATTGGGACTTGGATTAAATTTAAAATTCATAAAAGTAATGAGAACACATCTTTGCATTTCTTGCAGGGTGTTTTCAATGACACAAAAGTGACCATAACTGGACTAAATCCAGTTACAACATATCGATTCCAAGTTTTTGCAGAAAATGGGATAACAGAGTTGGCTGGCGAAAGCGATTATGTTGATATTACAGTAACCACAGAGGCCTCTGTCCCATCCAGCGTTATAAATGTTAGAGTGACATCTGTCAAGTCTACTGAGATGTCTTTAGCCTGGGATCCTCCACATACCAATGATGCCACTGATGCAGAGGGCGACACTGTTGAGATGTATGAGGTGAGTTCTACTTCAGTCTTGTGAAAGTACATGTATCAGTTGTATCTCTTCCTGTGGTTTTATTTGCCTATTATGTTAAATATGTTACATCTTTTGTAGGTTCGCTGTTTTGCTCGTCATGATGATGGCAATGCATCCAGTACATTAACAAAAGAACAGCAAACAACATTCACGGGGTTACGACAGAGGACTGAATATGGCTTCCAGGTTCGGGCTAAAACAACCCATGGGTGGGGCGAATTCAGCCCAACTCTGTTTAAAACAACAGGTCAAATATTGGGGACAGGTGAGTAACAGAAGAGAAAGTAATTAGTTTACAGTAGAAATACAGCAAGTACAGTAAACTCCCCATTATCTGGTATGTATATGGAATTGGGTCTGTCTGCCAGTTACCTGAGGAAACTCTTTGACACCTGCATGTAGGAGGATGATGTGTAGTGCTGCTAGTGATGGTTGGGAGAATTACTGCATGGCAGGTGAACACATTCACATGGCAAATTTACTTTTGAATATGTTTATAAAAATGGTAAATTGTATTTGAATTTTTTGATGGTTTGGAATTAGTGGTGGATGGATACAAGATAGTTGTTTGTTTACTGTTCTCATAAAATTCAGCATGTAACTTTTGTTGTATTTTAATTGTTACCAAGAAGTACTGTATTTAATTGAATGAAACCTTTAAAGAACTAGAGATTTATGGACTCAGATAAACCCAGAGTTGGGCAGTCACAGCTGTGGTTATATTTTTAACATATTGGTTACAAAAGTTTTCTTACATTAAAAGTTAATGTTATACTTAAGTTATGATTTGTTGCAATACAACTGTTTTTCTTCTTTATGTATATGAAGATATTGTTGTGGCCATTGTATTGAGATGCAACATATGGAGTAATTAAGCTTCTGGTTATTTTAGTTTATTAGGTATGTGTGAAATATGTGACATATGAAGGTGTTACACATTTTTGACATTCCATGTTCATTGGGCTTAATTATTTTTTCATTGCAGCAATTGTGGGCGATGATGATAACATGCAAGTGCGAATTATTGCAACAGTGATTGTCGTGGTGGTTATGTTCCTGGTTGTGATCATCATTGTGGCTGTCCTCTTTTTCCGAAGGTATGTTTCACAAAGAACACCACTTCCCACGATTCCTCTATTGTTGCATGCGTAACTGTTGTTACACTGATGTGGCATTTGATGTTTCATTGTTACATCACTGTTTGTTGATCCATAATCTAGTAACAGACATTTCTTGTGGTTAATCGATTCTGTCTCTGTCAGACATACCACAATATGTAATTCATATCACTATTATCTATAACAAGTAATTTTACTTGAATATGGTGTTACCATGGCTAATAATAAGCCTTTTGTCTTTGAAGGAGGGGCAGTGATGAATGCAACAAGAAACAGCCAAGTGACTGTGACACTCTGGAGTATCGAAATGGAGAAGGTGAGTTTATAATTATTAATTTATTGGTTATTTTAGATATTATTTTCTGATAATTTAAATAAACAGTAATGGTAAAGATTTGATTCTGTGTTTACAGCTTGTGTCACAAGAGATATTTTACAGTAGATACTAAGTGATACAAACAAATACAGGCAGCTTGAAATTCGTGGCCCTATACAAATACAGTATGCGCCAAAAATACAGTACTGAAATGAAAAGATGTCCTGTTGATATCACTGTCTATTCATGTGAAGGATCCTTACAAGACAGAACCTTCACACATCCTGAAGAAAAGGTCTGATCACCATGTCCCTGTAGTGTTCTTGGGTGACAGTAAGCGCATTGCCTTCCTCATCTTCAATGAAAAAAGGGCCTAGTATACAGTGTGCTGAGACGGCACACCATATTGTCACATGTGTACTCTATAGCGGTTTCTGCACGATATCATCTGGCCGCTCAAAACCAAGGAAGCGAGTTGTCTGGCAACCACTTCCATATGAGTGGAAATAATACTCAACTGTGAATACTTTTTCCTCAGTTGAGAGACCCATTTCCAACAACAACTGCAAAACACCACTTCCTTTTCACTACTGGGAACCTGTGTGGCTGGAACTATGCCCGTGCGTTTGAGATGCACGAGTTTCAGTACTGAATTTTTGGTGCATACTGTATTTTGGTTTCATATAAAGAAATATAAATTGTTAAAACTTTTAACATTGTTGTGCAAAGTATTAACATTGAAGGTTATGATCTACAAGAATCTGAATGCAGTAGAGTGGTGTATACACAGAATGTTCAGTTCTGTAAGGATATTTTTCTTTATAAAAAAAGAGAAAGAGGCAGAATGCAAGGAAGGGGGCAGTCAGTTGACATATTGCACTGAACTTCTCAGCAAACACTAGGTAAACTACTTGTCAGTGACACTGCTCCACGTTCAGAAATATCGTCCACATTCAGAAGTATCTGGTGCTGTTGGAATAATAAACACCTAATTGATATGTCAGTAAATGTAGTTAAGATCCAGACCCTAGTTGTGTAGGACATGAAATGGGAGAATAAGAACTGTGGCATTTCAGAATTATTACAACACCCTTTTCTAATTTTTAATAGTGAGTAATAACCATAAGCCTGATGTGAACCCTAATTAGTAGTGTGACTACGAGTATCCATAGAAGTATAGTGGTTTCATTTGCTGTGGAAGTTGGTAAGATGATGAGTAATTGTCAGTTTTAATGGAAAAAAGGTTGATGATACAATGTTAAATTTATGGTGGAAAAGTAAGAGAATATTATGTTTATATAGAGATAAGGAGCTCTCCAAAAATTTTCTTTGAGATGAGGTAACCCAAATATAATGCTATTAAGTATATTTTAAGCTTGTACTTCACACACACTAATCAAATCCCTTATCACTGAGGTAATGTCAGTTTAATTATTTGTAACATGAAATACACATAAATTTAATTTGGTAGAATGGTGTAATTCTTTCATATCATCTTTCTGCCTCATATTGATATGAACAATTCCATATAACTGCAGATGGTGACTATCTTATCACATTCATTTGAGTTTTAGGCTGTAGTTTTAATGTGCAAAGTAAATATGAAAGATTTATATACAGTTTCTAGAAAATAGCATCAACAGTACATAGTGTAGTTACAAAATGATAAATGTTGAATTCAGATATGATACATTATAATGGACATGTTTGTTCATATGCATGCAGAAAAACATTTGAACCACACCTAACAGCTGTGCCCTCTTGTTTTAATGGTGGTAAAAAAGAAGGTAGAGTTACCCCTGTAACTGGCCATGGAGGCCCATAGGGTTGTGAGATGTTGAGACTCCCACATTCTCTGCGCAGCTCGCAGATGACAGTCAGGTTGCCAGCCTCATGCACCAGCCACCCTTTACCCCCAGGGAGATTCCTGGTACTCATTTCTGCTTAAGGCTGAGTCGACCCTAAGACCACAATGCAGCTGGAAGGACTAGGCCAATAGATAAAAACAAGTGACCTTATTCGAAACCGAACTAGTGACTTTCCAGCTTGTAGTGTAGTGCCTCAACTAATTATGCTACCATGTGCCCCTGTTTGAATGGTTGCCCTTTAAAATAGAGTTGTATGGTGTAATTTTACAACTAATCAGAATGAAAGGCTGTTCTTTAGGATGTGGAAGTTCTTAACGTGTCTTTTAATAGTGACTGCAGCTCTTTATTTTGCCCTGTCATTTTACAAAATAAGTTATGTTACATTGCAACCAATATGTGTGAAAGGAACAGTGTCACCATATTTTGTATGATCTGTCAAAGTATCATGGATTTGGTTAACTGCCAAGATACCATTAGGAGAAGAGATATAAAAAAAATAGTTTCAGAATGCTAATGTCAGGAATGACAATTTTAGGCTGAACAGCGTTAAGCGACTTCTGTTGCTTATTTTTTTACATATATACTTTTAAGAACAAACTTTCAATGGATTGTCAAAAAGGGAATGTCCAGAAACAGAAATATGAACTTTTGAATATAACAGAAATATTAGAGAAGTAGGCCCATAATGCATGAAGAATAAAAGGTAATCTTAAAGAGACAAACCAAGGCAAAGGGGTTTCCCACTGGAGTATTTTTAAAGGAAACCATGCCATAAAGATGTATTTGGTTCTTAAGTTTATAAAGAAGGATGTTACAGTGGAACCCTAGTCATGTGTTTGCCTTAAGGATACAAATAATAGATAAGAACTGTGTATTCATTTCTTTATTGCATTGGTTACCTCCCTTGTTTACCATGTTTGAAATCAGTACTACATTGGTGTGCCACAATGTTATAATTTTGATGTATGTGTAAGTTGGCTTGAGGCAATGTCACTTCCAAATGTTTGCTATCACTGTGCTTAGTTATAATCACTTGTGATTTGTATTTTGTTTAGTGTCCTGTCTCATCTATAATACTGTAGAGCACTCATTCACTACCACTTACTGTAGTCGCATCTGTTGCTTGCAGAAATAATAGTCTTGTATCACTGTTGCAAATTAAGTGTAATCAGGGTGGTCACTGCAGAACCTGTGTCATATAACATAGTTTTCTTTCCTTCAGTTTACTGCATTCTCTGAATTAGAGTGCATTAAATGAACACATGGGGATATGTCTTGCTGGAGGCATACTATAGCTCTAAAACTACTCCAGTAATTTTGAAGGAATGTGATATTCACTGTTGATTCTCAGTCATGTTTAATTTTGGTTTGTGGCAATCAAACGTAACCTCTATTTAACATTAAGCCCAAATGAAAATTGACAATTTTTTTAAAAGGTGGCTTATATTAAAAAGAGTGCTGTATAATGCAACTCTCATTAAACTCTGCTACTTTTGTATGAACACATTTTGATTTGGCGAATATTTAAGAAAACACAGAAAGATACAATTTGCAATATGATACCTTTCGAAGAGTAGATTTGAATCAGCATGAAATGGATACCAATGCAACCGAGAGATGCAAGATCACAAAGATTGCGTTTGGAGAATACAGGGGGTGGGCAAAATAATGGAAACACTAAGAAAGTGAGGAACAGAATTTGTGTTGGCTGCATCCATTGAAAGAACTTCAGATGGCAACATTGAATTTTCTTCCATTTGTATACACTGTAATGCTCATGCCAGTGTATTAGTGATTGTGTTAAGTGACAGTTCAAGTGAAAGAATCAGAAAACGGGAGACTTATCCGATTTTGAAAGAGAACATATCGTTGGTGCGCACTTAGCTGGAGCATCTTTGATAAAAAACCAGCACATTATTAAGTGTATCAAGAGCAGTAGCTTGTAAGGTTACTTGGCATGCCTGAATCGTGGGAAGATAACATCAGCAAAGAGGAACGGTGTGTGAAAATGAACATTGACAGAAAGAGATTGTCATACATAGAGAAGGATTGATTGTTTTGAAAATGATGGCAAAATATCGCATGTGTCACCTAAGGATAGTTCATTAGCAGATGAGATGTTAGAACACTTGGAGGAATACATGAGCTGGATGAGAATCCTAGGATGTTAAAGTCTAGCTCACCCTAAGGAGTCATTGTAAATGCTATAAACCGTTAAAACCACACTAATTTGTACCATGTATAATTTGGGCTGTCATTGCTTTTATATATTTTATTTACACAGAATGGAGATTTTTCCTTTACAACTTCCTCTCAGGTAAGTATCTAATTTGTGGAAACATTGCAATTATCCACTTTTTTAAAAAAGAACTGAACTTGAAAATATTTATGTGTAATTTTGTTCTTTAATTCAAATTATTCGTTTCTTCTATTAGTGTGAATTATTGATGTTTTACTGTATTTGCCAAATATGATTCATAGTACAGGCTTTATTAAACACTAAATTTTTATTATTATTGTTATTATTTATTATGTTGTTGTGTTATCTGGCACTCTTGCAGAGATTGTGTGTTGGATGGTGTTTGTAATGTTAGGACTAAATGTTGCTTGGAATTGTGGCTGGTGGAGGACAAGATGGATGCTTCACTCAGTTATTCTTGTTATTAGAGTAGACTAACATTACAAACTACCTTAAGAAAGAACCTCATTCCTGAAGAACAGTGCATCTAAATACTTAGTGTTGCAGTTGCGGCCACCCTGAATGCCATAAATGTTATGTATTAACGATAACCATTTGTTGGTTGTGTGAATGTCACTGCAGGTAACAATGACACATTGTAGCAAATTCAGCACAAAGAGAGGAGTGTTGATGTTCTGTAAATTAAATATCTCACAATAGACATTTTAATAGTGTTTCACGCACTCATAGAAGCACATCACTATGACTTGAAGATCGTAATGTAAATGTCTGAGTGTCTGTTGTGTTGTTATATATATATGTGTGTGTGTGAGGTGCACTAACTTCGCTGACAAGCAGCGGTCGCTCGTTCGGTATAGTTCGCTTCGAACTATAGGCCACGGAGTTTTATATGAGGTTCTGTCAGAAAGTTCCTGGACTACTGCCATTGTAACTGTCTTGGTGAAAGAAGACGTGGGGAGGCCAAGGCCAAGGCCTCACTTCTGCAAGCCTGTTGCATTAGCCTGCCACGTGTCACCACACTGTGAACATGCATTGTTTTTACATGAGTACTTTTTTGACTTGTGTTTCGTTTTGTCTGCAATGTATGTCAAAATTGAGCGATATGTCTGCATCAAGTTTTGTGTGATGCTTAGTAAATCTGTTACCAAAACCCTTGAAATGCTTCGACATGCTTTTGGAGAAAGAATTCGAGAACTCATCCATGAAGATCATTGCCAAGCACTCTATGAGCTTGCAGACCTCGTTGGGATCAGTTACAGAGTTTGCTAGGAGTTCTTAACAGAAAATTTGAACATGCACAGCATTGCCAACAAGTTTGTTCTCTGACTTTTGGGAAATGATCAAAAGCAGCAGTGTGTAAACGGGTGTCTTGAGCTATGAGAGAGGGCTAATGAGGACCCAAGTTTTATCTGTAGGATAATAATGAGTGATGAAAGTTATATTTACTGTTATGATTCAGAAAGAAAGCAACATTCTTCAAATTGGAAGAGCAAAATAGCGCTGCAGGTCCAGAGTTTAACACTGAGCATGCGCATTGTTTTTTTTTTATGTGAAGGGGATTGTTCACCATGCATTCCTTCATCCTAACACTAGGGTCAACTCTGACTTTCACTGTGTTGTTTAAGATGCTTGAGAGAAAATGTGCGATGAAAAGGACCGGAACTTTGACACAATCACAACTGGATTCTTCATCACGACAACGCACCTGCCCACACATCCCTGAAAACCACAGAGTCTGTACTAACAACAACATGGTTATCGTTCCCTATCCTCCCTACTTGCCGGACTTAGTCCCCTGTGATTTTTTTTTTCCCTAATTGAAAATTAAAGTGAAGGGAGGACAACATTTTGAAATAGTTTCTGACATCCAAAAGGAACCACAAGCAGTACTCAACAGCATAAAGTAAAATGACTTCCACTGTGTTTTTGAAGTGTGAAAAAATTGTGGGATCACTCTGTACATTCCAATGGAGACTATTTTGAAGGAAATTGCACCAAAAATTAAGTTTTTTTTTACCTAGTCCAGGAACTTTCTGATAGCACCTCATAGCTAGTCAGTACAGTGACTGCCTGTGTGCCGGACTGCCAGGGTTGTATTTCTGGCAGGGGTAAAGGGTTTCTCTTGCCACAGTGTCTTAGATCAGGTCTGGGATTCAACCAGTCTTCTATCCACTGGGCATCAGGAGTAAAGAAAGAAGCCTGAGCATGAAGCTGAGCATTCATCGCTGTCTAGTGCTGAGGTTAAGAATGTGTGGAGCTATATTTCCTCTCCCCCATACATATTCATGGTGTGGTGCTTAATTAAGAACTACAGTGTCCAGTCTGTTTTGTTTTCTGAGCTTTTCTGTTACAACTCTACTGAGGAAGGGTCTGAACAAATGGGCATATGAAAGAGTGAGTTCAGTTTTTATGCTCTTCATTGATGAAAATAATTATGAATGTAATCAGAGTTTGTGTAAAGACATTAATTTGTTTTTCTTTATGAAAAGATGCTGGTATGACATAATGTTATATGTCACTAGAAGAAAAGCTGTTTTTGTAACTAGAAAAGAAAAAGGGTTTCTTTAGCGTATGGCATTTAGACCTGTTGCTAGACAACATGATGAGCTTTTAGATTTTGTTCCAGTTTTTCTTTTATCAGTGGAGGCAACAATTGTCTGACTTTCATGTGGGATGAAAACATAATTTGGGTCATATTTAGAGTCCATTGCTTAAGAATGTTAGTGGTTAAATTTGAAAGAGGTGTTCCAGAACTTGTGAACACTTGGGTAGTGAAATATACCATGACCATTGTCATCATTACATTTATGACTGCTAACTTATTCCGGTTTATAGATGTTTTCTTCCTGACACATTTCTCTTTGTGATGGATTTGCTGGTGTATTGCTCAATTGTTAATGTTGCTTATACCATGCATTCTTTTGTCTAACTTACTGATTACTCTTACACATCCTGCCTTTAATTATTTTTTCTGTCTATTTGTTTTTATCTTTTACATGCAATCAATTCTCACCCCTGCCAACATTGCCAATGAACCAACAATCCAATCAAGCAGGACTAGTAGTCACCTACAGTAAGTTGTTCAGTTGGTGCACCTGCTGATTTGCTCGCTGGCTTGCTGTGTTGTTATGCAACTTAGATGTGTAGATAGAGTAGATTCAGAAAGTAGTTTAGTTACATTCATTTCATTAATTCTGCACTCTTCCCCACATCTTGTTATTACAGTTCATTTTTTTATTGCTTTTCATCCAAATTATTTACAGGTCAGTATTGGCATGTATGTTTCTGTGAACATTAATTTGTGATGCAATTGGATGTGTTCAGTTCAGGTAGTTACAAAGACTGTGAATGAATAACTGCAACTAATGGTTCACTTTCCTGGGATGTAAACCCTTGTAGATCATTACTTTTTTGGAAGTACATGTTATCTCCATCTTCAGGGTAGCACTGAGCAAACAATGTGGCATCATGTCCTAGAAGAAGTAACCTTCACAGTCACCACCATGGGAACCACAATTATTGATTACATTCCTTTTCATGTAGATATGTTGCTGCTGTTCATAATCTACAGGGAAGATAACAGACTAAATTTTGTCTATTTTAAGTATATTAAAAAGGCAGTGTCATAGCCCAGGCAGCTTCTTACAACGAAAATCTGTGGTAGTCCATCTGGGATTTGTGGTTGACAAAGTGACTTTGCAGTATGTTTCTTTTCTTCCTAATTATTTTGAGTTTACTCTGCCAACCATCATTCCACTGATCTGTATCATCTGGCAGTCATCATGCCACTGATACGAATCTCACTTCGATGTATGTGATGGACCTGCCTACCCAGTACATTATCAGAATTTGACCCCAGGATGGGCCTCACTTCTGACTCAACATTTGGATTGATTCTCTGGTTATTTAAAAACTTTTTTTCAGCCACACGTTATACCATATACCATAAAAGGAAAGAATAATTGTAAATAATGAATTGCCAAGGATGTGGAAGAAAGTGGTCATGAACTGTTTTAAGGTACTGGTTCTCAGTTTGGCTGGAGAGAACAATGAAAACCATGAATGCCTTGTTGTAGCTGGGCTGATATTCAAGAACAGTTTGTGTGCTGAGTGTTCATAGCAGTTTCAGTTCTCTTTCTTTCTTCCATTAATAAAATAAAAGTCCAAATTTTCATCACTCTTATCAGTGGAGAACAGTTAATTTCTTATTCAATATGTCATGTCTTTTCATCCATGAGTTGCCCATCCAGCAATTTCTAGTTCTTTTTTCTCTTCTTTTTAATTTGTATCTCTTCTTTCCTCATAAACTTTATTCCATTGGAGCAGACTGACAAAGACCAATGTTGCATATGAAGATAGCCCCATAGTTACAAAATAAATATATTTTCACTAACCACAACCTTTTAACATTTTGTTTTGTTGCTTTTGTATTACTTATTTTATACTGTTATTTTTTTGCACCACTCTTTCATTTTTGTCTGTTATTGTTGCATCATTTGTGTTTGGTTTCATGTGTGTTCCCAGTCCACTGCAACTTGGACAGTCCTCCTATTGTAACCACACATACCAATGGATGTAAGTAGCACGCAACTCTGCAACTGCACATGGTTCACATGTTTATTTCAATTCATGCCATTTTAAAATCTATCTTTTTTCACTCCATTTGTGGGCCATAATAACATAATTACCCAAATATAAGACAGTAACACATATTGCAACATAGAAACAGTTCTTTTCCAAATTTAATGTTGAATCATATTTTTCCAGTTCCTTTTAATATAGAACCACTTAAAACTACATATTAAATAACGTCTTTCAATTTCCTGCTCATATTTACTCATGTACAACACTATAGCATGTTCATGAACCAAAGAACAATCTGCCCACATTGTGGATATCAATGTACTCATTGCTGAATGCTTTGTACTACTGCTGAATCAGTTATCATAATATATTCTTCTTTTTTAGTGATTGCCAAATGAACCCTCATTTTTTAGATACTAAATTAAGGAAAAGGACCTCATGTTATGTTCAGATAAATACAACTGTTCTGTAGAAAGAACAGTTGACTATTGCATTCTATAACTGGGTCAGTGAAAGAATCATCTCACATTTGTTTCTCACCCTAGTAGTACCACCTCTCAAAATGCATTCCCTCACTCACACCACTGGCCACTGTGTATCAGCACAAACCTTGATCTTATTTCTGTTTAACATTTAAGATACCCTGTTTCCAAAGGGGTTTGGTTAGAAACCAAACCTAAGGAGGCTTCAATGTTTTAATAATATTGGCATTATTAAAGTTACTTTCAAAGAGAGAAGGGCAGCAGCATATCTCTTCCACAGATGAGATCCCTTCTGCTAGTACAGAATGTTTTTCATTGAGTTTCTGGAGCCTTTCAAATCAGTAGAAGATCCATGTCAGAGATAGTAAATGAACCAGCAGAAGCCACTAAAAATAAGGACAGATAATGCCATTTTATGTTACTGAAACCAATGAGAATAATGTTACAGCTGTGAGTTTTAGTGAAGTAAGTGGCTCCCTCCTAATGCAGGGAGGCATGCCTGGTGTGTTATGAATTTCCACTGACAAATGATGTCCTTTTATTATATTAAAATTGATCATATTCTTTCAGTTACAGTATCGATTAGCCACAAGAATGGTGATGAAATAAAGTTTGTCCATCCTTCCGGTGCAGGGAGTCAAATGTTATTTTTTTATTGCTTTACATTGGTGAATATCATTTCATTTTATCGGAATTGATTAGAATTTATTGTATATTTCAATGAACGATGATTTCAACAGTGAATGACAGTGGAAGTAGGCTGCTTCCTCCTCCTAAGACAGTGAACTTAAGCTTTTGACAGGGGAGGTGTGAATTGTAGGTAGGGTGGGGGAGCAGGTGGCCAACTTTAACTCCCACTACCCATATTCATTCTTTTGTTGACTCAGGTATGGTTTCTTTAACAGATGTAAGAATGTATGGTGAGTGGGGACCAGTTGGTCTAAGGAAAAGGTGCTGCATTTCTATATTTTAGGTCTCAGGATAGAAACCAGTTATATTCAATCAGTGAGTTTTCTTGTCCTCACCTTCACTAGCACCAAATGGGCAGGGACTGAACAGATTACAGCTGCAGGCAACAGCCACAACTGGCAACAAATTCATGGTGTAGGAGAGTCTTGGTTAGTCCAGAAAATAATGTGATGACTATGGTACGACAACATATAGAAAATTGGAAGGCTGGACACTTTCCAGTATGAACCTCATTACCACCAAATTGATTAATTTATATACTAGGCCAGGGATGGCCCAGCTTTTAAGTCTACAGGCCACATTTTGAAGTCCAAATGCTTTTTGGGATCACTGAAGTCAGTAAGCCTCTTGGTTTCAACCCCAGAGCTGTACTTTACCTAACCCTTTATTTTGAGGCTTCATTAGCTCAACCAAAGCCTCCAATTCTGAACAGTATGCCAGTATCTCTTTCTTGTCTGCTGTCCAAGAACAAAAAAATTAGAATATACAGAACTATAATTTTGCCTGTGGTTCTGTATGGGTGTGAAACTTGGTCTCTGACATTAGGGAGGAACATAGACTGAGGGTGTTTGAGAACAGGGTGTTAGGGAGAATATTTGGACCAAAGAGAGATGAAGTAACAGGAGGTTGGAGAAAACTGCATAATGAGGAGCTTCATAACTTGTACTCTTTTCCAAGTATAATTAGAATGATCAAGTCAAGGAGGATGAGGTGGGCAGGTCATGTAGCACGAATGGGGGAGGCGAATAGGATATTGGTGTGAAGGCCAGAAGGAAAGAGACCACATGGAAGACCAAGGCATAGGTGGGTGGACAATCTTAGAGATAGGATGTGATGGTATGGATTGGATAGGTCTGGCTCAGGATAGGGACCAGTGTAGGGCTCTTGTGAACACAGTAATGAACCTTCGGGTTCCATAAAATGCTGGGAAATTCTTGAGTAGCTGCAGAATTGGCAGCTCCTCCAGAAGGGCTCAGCTCCATGAGTATGTAAGTAATTACAGTATCTCTGCTGCTAGTTGGGAATTACTACAATTCTTATGCCCTGAGGATGGAGTAACATTGTCCAAATCAAGGCTCTTTGGAATTCTTTTTCTATTAGTGATTTCTGGATGAAAAGTAAAATGTGAATGTTTTCACAGATAAATGTTACTTTTAAATTGATATTATTTAATCAAGTTTAAAATTATGTAACTTCAGTTCAAAATTTTCCTGATGCATAAAGGAAAGTATGCGTGAAATGTTGTATATGTATAATAAGATTGATTACATTTTGTAGTTTTTAGTAAGTTTTAGACATAAAAAGCTTATACTTCATTGTTCCATTGATCCAAGTTTCATGGATCACAGATGCCATTTAAAATTACCTCAGTTTGTTGCAAGTGAAAATGAATGTTTCATATTCTTCTCTAGAGTGTAGAAATATTTTACAACTTCCAGTTTTTAAACCTAAAACTGCTTTGTAGAATGTCTCGGAAACAGCACCTCCATTCTTACATCTTGTGATTTGGATGTTTTGCTTAACAGTGACACCATCTTGAAGTTGGTATGTTTTGGAAATATATTTGTCCACTAGTTAATGCTTGTTATGTGTCTGTGTTCTGAAGTAGCTTTGTAGCCCTCATAGCTGTGCTGTGTATTTTTTGGGACTGGAGCCATGTGTTATTTCCTGTTGATAGTTTCTCTAATATGGAAAATACAAGTATTATGTGTTTCAGAAGCATGTGTTGAAAGTCATATACTTTGATTAATTTAATGGTGTATAGTTATGAATTTTATAAAAATAACTGGGAGTACACATTCTATTTATAATTAACAGAATGCATGGTTTGTTGTTCAGGAAAGGAGCTTTCTTCATTAATTTCATGCATATTTAGCACAGACACGCGTGCCCATTCATTTGATCACAGCTTATTTGAAATTATATCAAAGTTAATGTGAGAGCAATTTTGGAAGCAAGAATTTACTGTGGCATGGTGCCTGAGGGCTGGAATAGCAGAGCAAGATGAGATGTCCATTGCTAGGCAATGGGTTGATAAACACATTGGCACTCATAGTGGCTGGTTAGCCATGAGCACAGAAGTAGAGGAATCTCCACTCTTAGAGGCCATTTCTAGTTACTAACACATGACATTACAATGCCTTATACATGTATATATGTGCACAGACTCTAATTCTGTCAAAATCTCAAGATTAATTTTTTCACCAACAGAATACCTCCTGATACTGTGCACATTATATGAGAAAGTAAAGAGGAACAGATACATTTTCAACTTTGTTACTGTACAAGATGTGTATAACACAGACAGTGGTGCAGACAGTACACACATCTAAGAATTTCTTAGTCTTGGGATGATCATAGTACTTTAAGCAGTATGGCTGGAAATGTATATTAATGATATTTTTGGTCCAGAATAAAATGTGACATAATCTCTTAATGTGCAGTGACAACGCCACTTTTCACAGCGGTTGGTGCATCAAGTCGAACTTACATCGATCCTCACACATACGAAGATCCCAATCAGGCTGTCAGAGAATTTGCTAGAGAGATAGACGCTTCATGTATCACTATTGAAGCAATCATAGGTATGGAAATGCTATTTTACTCATTCTGTACTCTTTCCTGCTTGTTGTATGTTTTCTATACATATAATGTCATATCAGAAGCATAGTTCTTAGGCCTTTAATATACATATGTATCATTAACACATTTTTAACAATTTTTTGTGCAAATTTTAGGTGGAGGAGAATTCGGTGATGTGTGCCGAGGAAAGTTAAAGTTGCCACCAGATGGCTGTCGAACAGAAATCGATGTTGCCATTAAGACTCTGAAGCCAGGTAGCTCAGACAAAGCAAGAAATGACTTCCTTACTGAGGCATCTATCATGGGTCAATTTGAACATCCAAATGTGATATTCCTGCAGGGTGTTGTGACAAAGTCCAATCCAGTCATGATTATCACAGAATATATGGAGAACGGCTCTCTTGATACATTCCTTAGAGTAAGTGACTTTCAAAGTAGCAACAGTTCTTCATGATATCACAAATTCACTGGCTATAATCACTTTTTGGAATATAATGGGAATAATAATTTTACATAATTCTGAGTTTTATATTGAAGAAAGGATTGAGCATTGATCACTGGAGTAGGTTCCCAGGTGTGTTAAGACTGCATGCTGTTTTCAGATTGTAAGCATTTGTAAGAATGACCTCACTCTTTGCCAAAGATTTTCTTTCTCTCTTTGTTCCTATCTTTCTCCCTCCCTCCCTCCTTCCTTCCTTTTTTCCTCTGTGTTGCAAGTTTCAAGACTTGGGCAGTCCTACATACAGACAAGTAGATGTTCTTGCATTCAGTTTTATGCATGTAGTCAGAAACTGTTACTTTCTGTAGCACTTGTTTGTGACATTTGACCCTTAAATAAGGCACATATGATAAATGTTCCTAGTTTTATTACATAATGGTATGAAACCGCGGGCGACCTTGATGGCTGACAACCATGCCACAAACTCCTGCCCCAGCAAGAACATTCAAGATAGCCACAGCCAACAAACCAAACAAAACCCTCTACCATAACACATAACATATTACAGATAAGGCAAAGGCATGCAGCTCAAGGACACCTAAATAAAACAGATGGTTACCCCACATAACCAGAAGTAATCCAAGGCAGCTACATAAGAGAAACAAAATAGCGTTACAGTGAGCAGCAGATTCCTTCAGCACAACAACCTGTACACCTGAAGATGGCCAGTTAGGCAGAAACATATAGTGTCAATAAAGAAAACCGACAAGTGAATAGTAACCGACATTGCAGATAGACGGCTTAAAAGCAAAATGCGAAGTCAGATTTTTATGTACACTTTTTCTTTTAATTCGCTTAGTGGGGTGCAGAGTCCAACTGGGTCCACTGGGCACAGCTGCCACTGATTGGCCTATTGTAGCCTTCTCCGGGTGATTATGACGATGGAGAATTTGATGGAATGAAGATTGGCAAGGGAAACCGAAATGCTCGGAGAAATCCTTTATGTACACTCTTACTGAGGAATCCTAATTTGGGCATTTTGAACTATGTTCCACACTTGCATTCACTCATGGATTGATTTTTAATATAACATCCAGTTAATTCATCTATTTATGTTTATATTAACAAAGTTTTGCACCAGTCATAATGTAAGAAGCTTAATTTAAAGAAAATTTAACATGTTACTGTGATAATGAAAGCATTATTTAGATAAGTATTTTGACACGTTGAACCACCGTGAACAATGCCTTTACTCGATAGGCTAATGATGGCAAGTTCCAAGTCATCCAGCTGGTTGGGATGCTGCGTGGCATAGCTTCAGGCATGCAGTATCTGTCCGAGATGAACTATGTCCACAGGGATCTCGCAGCCCGTAATGTACTGGTCAATGCTCAGCTTGTGTGCAAGATTGCAGACTTTGGTTTGAGCCGTGAAATAGAAAGTACTACTGAAGGGGCATATACCACAAGGGTAAGATTTTGTATTATATTAGATTTATGAAATTTATTTCTATAGCATTGTTCAATGTTTACTTCAAATAAGTACAATAAATTTGCAAGTTTTGTTTAAGTCTGTCTGTGACAAAGAGTGGGACCCATTTTGATTCAGTTTCGGGTTAAAAGACTGATGAAATCTGCTTATTGCTGTATTCTTGTGTACACACAAATGTCTCCTCTGAATGAAATGGATTTTGCCCATTTTGAACCTTTATGAATGAATCTTTACTTTGATTTGGGCTTCTACTTTATATGAAATTCCAAACATTCACTCTGCAAAAATCTTAATGATATAATTGGATTTCAATAAAGCACAATATTGCAATTGTTCAATTAAATTAAAGTTCAATATGATGTAACTGTATTGGCTAATCAGACTCTCATGTTATCTGAAGGGCATAAATTAATTTTAGGAACTGTTTGTTAATCTACAGTGATTGAAATGGTCCTGACAAAATTTCGGAACTCAGTGCAATGAACATTTTGTACATTTCTTCAGAGTGAGCATGATTTGAGATAGTTAACTGCTGGAGTGACAATATCAGATTGATGGACTGTACATGATGGTTAAATTATTGAATTGTATAATTATGGTTCCTTTTATGAATGTGGCTCTAAAAGGACTAGTTTCTGTCCTCAGAACTAATATATGTAAATTGTGACATGTTCTATATCCGATGGCTTTGGTAGCCAGTAAGGATCTGTGAAAATGAAAATAAAGATACAAGATGTCATTGAACCCCTTGGTTAATAAGAGGTACATCTTTATTGTAGCTTATTTGTTCACACTGTTCATGCGTGTTCTTTTGCTGGTTCAGTGTTGTTAGAAGAGGGAGTACACAAAGTCACAACTGTGTGGACCACAGTAAGAAGGGTGGAGGTATTATTGCCTCACCTCTCAGGCATTAATGAAATTAGATATAAGCATTGAGGTAAACCTGTAATACTCTAGGCTTATATTCTATACGTAACCACTTTAGATGTCATTCATGCTACTGGCTGTTTTGGTTAATGTATTTTGTTCTCGCCAGTCTTGTTACGTGAATGCTGGTATAGTACATGAAAACATGTTACCTTTATTGAAATTAAGATATATTATTTGTACTAGTTGATTGAAATATATTATTTGATTGTGAACTAAGAAGAGTAAACTTTTATAAAGTTGATGTTTAGTTTATTGTTTATATCTTGTTCCAGGGGGGCAAGATCCCTGTAAGATGGACTGCACCCGAAGCCATAGCATTCCGCAAATTCACATCTGCCTCTGATGTCTGGAGTTTTGGTATCGTGTGTTGGGAGGTTATGTCATATGGAGAGAGGCCGTATTGGAACTGGTCCAATCAGGATGTTATCAAGAGTATAGAAAAGGGCTACAGGTATGTGTGTTTTCCAAGGTGGACATTATGGCATGCAGTGACTGCACTTTTTTTTAATATAGCGCTTTCATATATAGAGTATTTAGCGATCTTTGGGAAGATAGTTGATTTGTAACTTAAAAGGTAAAGTTGTCCCTGTGCCTAACTCATTAAGCATTGTACCATAAAGGTGTATGGGAGAGTGGATGTTTAGATTCAGATTTTCTTGACCTTGGCACTACCTGGAGGTGGGCGGTCAGCTTCACGCCCTGGCTGCTTTATCCTCGGGGAAAGAGGCACTGGTACCCATTGTATAAGAGGTTGGGTGGACCCCAGAGCCAGTCTGGATGACATGGCGAAGAGAACATTTTTTGTTCTACCAGGACTCAAACTCTGACCCCTCGGTCTTCCAGGCATTAGCTATACCAACTGTGCTATCCTGGCTCCCGACAATTGATTTGTAGTGCTATAAAATGACACGTAATAGTGTTAATTTCATTCTTGTGAGATTTGAGGTTCTCACAGTGATGGATATCAAGATTACAGTCTTCTAGGTACCCTGAAAACAGATGGAGCAGGTTTGTCTGCAGTGCTGGTACCAATTTGTCAGACTGTACAATACAGTATCCCAGAAGACCTTAATTGTGATTTCATTCTTATTGATGGCTGATGAGTGCAAAATTAAATACAGTATATGGCATTTAATATTTGCCCATAGTCTATTACCATATATTTCCCAAATTCAGAGAAAAGTCCTTTTGTAAACATCTCTTATACGGAATTTATGGCACTACAAGAAATACTTGTTAGTGCATTAAAATATTTCATATATTGATTTTTAATGTTTATGCATTGTTGTTACTCTAAAGGGCTGCACCATAGCTCAAGCTGTTAGTCGCTGGCTTCCCACTGCCGCGGCCCAGGTTCGAGCCCGAGTCTGGTGAAGTGGGATTTGTGGTGTACAAAGTGGCACTGGGGCAGGTTTTCTCAGAGTAGTTTGGTTTCACCTGCCACTCTTCATTCCACCAAATTCTTCATCATCATAATCACCTGGGGCAGGTACAATAGGCCAATCAATGGCCGAGGTGCTGAGTGAACCCAGCTGGACTCCACCCCCCACTACGTGAAATTAATTGAAGTTAAATGATAAATGTAATACTTTCTGATCACAGTTGCAATGTAGAAAAAAGAAACTGATTACTTTTTTAATGCAGTAAGACAAATTGAAAGTGTGATACAGTCTGAGTTTGGGGGGGTGGTGATGGAGAAATAATTCTTAAATTACATTTAATCATATGTTGTTTTCTTCTCTTCCATATTAATTAGTTGAATCTGTAAACAGGAGTGAGCACAAATGTGGCATTTACATTTGATGTGGCCCTGGACCTTGTCTGTAGAAAATTAGTGGAAATCAGAACAGATGTTCAGTGCTGTGTTTGTGGGAAATTTATTGTAAATTCATATCTCAAGGCTGCAGTGGTAGTGGAGTAATTAAGGTTGCATTTTAACATCTTCACAGTTTTGCAGTAAACACTGCTCTCTAGACATGATAGCCACCTGTTCATGAATATGTGATTTCTTTTAGGAGGGTCAGTCAAAAAGTTCCCGGAATGGTGGTATAGCACTCTAATGGTTGGACATACGGCGACGCTTACCTAATCACCTTCAAAGTATGACCCTTGCACATACACACACTTGCTCCATTGAGCCTGCCATTGTTGGAAGCAGTGGTGGAAGGCTTCTTTTGGCATCTTCCAGAGCTCAGCCGTCACATTCGATTTGATGTCCTCCATGGTTGCGAAACGTGTCCCACTGAGACCCATTTTCAGAGTAGGGAACAGCCAAAAGTCACTCGGAGCGAGATCTGGAGAGTACGGTGGTTGAGTAATGACAGGAATGTTTTTCTCAGTGAGGAATTGCTGCACAACAAGCGATGTGTGGCTTGGTGCGTTATTGTGATGCAGAAACCACTGTCCCTGCCACTTGTCGCGCCGCTTCTTCCGAACCGCATCGCACAACCTCTGCAAAACTTGCACACATAGAAATGGCCAGTAACAGTACCAACTTCTTGTTCAACTCCGCGATGGTTGATCACATCAAATCAGTTGTCACACTTCTCCAATCATTTTTTTGGTTCTGGATGTCGAAGGTCTCCCGCTGTGCTGGTCATCCTCTAACGTCTCCTGCCCATCCTTAAACCAGAAAAACCAGTTGTAACTGTGGATTTCTATAGTGTAGTATCACCACAAACTTGTTGCAGGGCAGATAGCGCCTCTAAACAGATTTTCCCAATTTGCACAAGAACTTGATGTTCACACGCTGTTCGAACTGCGACATTGCGCCGAATAACCAATACTCATGTCTAATTCAAACGGAACAGTAACGACACTGCACACTGAAACCTGTCCAGACCTGTTGTGCCTGCGAGCAGACATGCTGAGCTTCCCACCACAACAGTGTGTGCGCTATCTTATCCCTCGTTCTCCGTCTGGAGGGGAATTCCAGGAACTTTTTGACTGACCTACGTATGTGTTTTGAAGGACTGCTTTAGCTTTCTGACAGTAGCAGCAGATTTATATTGTATCATGTTGACTCATTGCTGGATAACAACCTTGAAATGAAAAATGAAACAAATCTGCTACTAGACAACAGATTCTTAATAAGCAAGTATATGCAGCCATTACTGAGTAACATCTTCACAAACAAATATGTTCCCATGGAAACAATTGAAGTGCAACAATAAATGATGTTTTCTACATGGTCCATGCCAAGGGATTATCAGTGAGGCAAGATTAGAAGTTAACCACTTGTAAGGGAGTTGTGTGAGAGTAGTAAGGAAGTCTGTGAAGAGAGGACTTAGTCACTGCAGGTTAGAGCGAGCACACAATGAAGTGAGTGCAGAGCTGAAGAATCTCCACTGTTAGTCATTACCAGGGAATGGCTGGTGAAGATGCAGCAGACTGAAAAGACTTAGTGTGTGCTGTAGTGATTTGCAAAGTGTGGAGATCAGCAGTGGCGCTATAATTAAATGTAGCCATGAGTCAAGTGTTGAAGTGGTCAGTAAATCCAATCTCCAATCAAAATCCTGTCTACAGTCACTCTTACATATGAAAATATTTTAGTACTGTTAATTTTAACATACCAGTATTCTTTTTTAGTGGGAGTTACTTTTTTCTCAATTTTTCTTGCCGGTTATCTGTAACATTAGAGGTAACCAGACAAAAGCCGATACTTTTACAATAACTTAATCTTGCTCTATCTCAGGCCTCAACTTTTAGTGATACAAAATGACCATGAGTCAGGCTTTTGTGGGACTGATAAGGCTAAACTTGCTTCTAGGGGAAGGTATATCAGGCGATATAGAAATTGGCACTGTTTGTAAATAAGAAACGTGCTCTGATGAAGGCATATGTGTAATACTTTTTTTTTTCCTTGGCACTACAGCCCCAGTGGGCCTAGGCCTACCTCCATGAACTCCATTCACTTTGGTTTTTCTAGATCTTAGAAATTCGGTAGGACTCCTTGGGCGGGTGATCAGCTCGTTGCAAGGCATCTACCTGTAGACGAACACAGAAAAAAGCACACACAAACTAAACATCCATGCCCTGAGTGGGATTCAAACCCGCGATCCCGGCTTCCGAGCGAGCAAAGACAGTGCACGCCTTAGACCACTTGGCTACCGTGACCAGTTGTGTAATACTTTACTAAATACAATTTTCTCTATAGGTTACCAGCGCCCATGGACTGCCCGGAAGCCATCTACCAATTAATGCTTGACTGCTGGCAGAAAGAAAGAACTCATAGGCCAACATTTGCCTCTATTGTTAAAACACTTGACAAACTCATTCGATGCCCTGACACCTTGAGGAAAATAGCACAAAACAGGTAAGCAATAAATCGAATTTGCTTTTAAGAAAATTATTGTGTAAAATATGATATAAACGTCTTGAAATTAAATGAATCAGTTTCTGAATTCCTCCTTTGTTTGTGTTTTGTTTTGTTTATTTACAGTGTTTTCAATAGTTCTGAGAACAAATTATCTCTGAGAGATTTGTAGTGGGAAAAATACCGATACAAAGAAAAGCTGAAGAATATTGGATTATGTGCTTTTTGAAAATTTAACCATGTGAAATTTCTTGGTTCTTATGGATGAACACTGTACAGGTAGTTGTATATTTGATTGACTATGAGAGAGAGATGATCTGGGTATGATTGTGAACTGTGTATGACTACAGTGAAATGGATTTCAGACAACTAATTAGGATTTGAGGTTCTCACAGCAGTGGTTATGAAGAGTACTGTCTTCTGGGTTGTAACATCTTGTAGTCCATTGAAAGTCCGCTGCCGTTTCAGGGGGCTTGCCACCGCTTTCATGCTGGTGTCTTGCTTGGATTATTTTACCCTGAAGATGGAGGTGATATGTTCTCTGAACTGTCAGTTGAATTTCATTCAACTACACAGAATTATATCCCAGGAGATAGTACTCTTCAATTAATTATTTAGAGTCACAAGGATAGTGAGTGAACAGTGAGAGAGGAGTAGAATAAATGCCTTGTCGCTGCTAATTCTAAATTCAGTAATTCAAAGAGTGAATTAGATTTAAATCTGGGAGATTTGCCAGGGCCAACTTTAGATTATTGTAATATTAAGGATTGTGAAGATATTAGAAATAATTTTGAAGTTCATGTGATGTTCCTTTCTCAACTATGTAAATTATGAAGTGTTGATGGATGGTTGAAATTATGTGGAAGCAGTTATAGCCTGTTTTAAGTTCCTAACTCAAAATTTGACTGGAGGGTGTTTGGAAAATAACTGCCTAAGTTAGAACAACTGAGAACTATGCATGTTACATCCTGAATATGAAGGAGTTCCAACAGCTTATCAGCCACCCTAACTAAGCTTCACTTATGTATGAAAGGAATGTTGTACTATTATTTGTGAACAAGCAGTATGTTATCTAGTCCTGGTTTAGGGCAGAATAGTCAGGTACACAGAAGTGGAGTAGCGCTGTTTTTTATGTAGTAATGCTATAAAAGCTCCTTGGGTTGTGTATCAATATTGAGAAATATGAAGGTGGGTATGGGTAATGAGAACGGTGGGAAAGAAGTTGTCTCAGAATATAGCCTATCTATAAAGATACTTATCCTCATGAAGAGCTTAGTTGAGACAGAAAATTACATTATCATTAAAAAGAATATCCCCTGAATTCAAGACATGAGTGGCCATTATGATTTCCTAGCGAGTACATGATATAAATATAAAATACATTCTAGTGCTTATTTATCTGACATTTGGTACCAGTTGTACAAAACAGAATCCAAATTTTCATGTTCCTTGAAATCTCACCACGCAGCTGTACAAAATACAGTACAGTCAGTTGTTATGTTGATTTTTTCGGAAACATATTCATCCCTGCAAATACTTAGGAAGATTCGGAAACTGATTCATTGAACATTACTGTAGTCATGAGCCTGGCTGATTAGTGCTGGAGCAGAAAAAGTTTTTAGCTGGAGTTCATCTTGAGTTCTTGAAAAATCTATAAAATCGGTTTATTTTGGCTTCTTTAGCTCTGTTAAATATTTTCTTGGCTGAGTAGTTGCTTGATGAATCTTGACTGCAGATTGATTTGTCCTGTGTACTGTTAAATGTGTATGTATATTCATTTGAATGAACGTCTGTTAATATAATGTATTGCATACTGTACAGTTTTGTGACATGACTTATGCATTATTTGGTGTACTGCTTAGATGTGTGAATGATGTCCATGAAATAAAAGAAATTGCTCTAGATTTTCCCATATATTTATGAATTGGAACTTTGTTCCCCCCTCCCTTAAGATTTTGATAACTATGGTATCTTACATACCCATCAGATGATGTTACTGTAGTCTATTTAGGGTTCCAATGGGACAGAGTTCTTCTTTGGAACCCTATTGCTAGGCGACATTGTTATGTGTGCTCTGATTTACTTAAAGAGATCTCAGTATTATCAGACACAAATAAATCGATCTCTATGTAACTTGTTATGAACATCATGCTATTGGAGATCTCTGTCTTATTAATTTTTGTCTTCCTGACTTCAGTAATACCAGTGTGTTTTTGTGCAAACCTGTGAGTAAGTTGGGAAGCAGCACTGTTTGCTGTGAGTTCTAAAGGTATTGACAGTGATAGGTATTCAAAAAGTTTTTTTCTTTTTAAAAAGAACTATAAATAACATAGTGACTGCACAAAATATTTTTATGTTTTGACAAAAATTGGCAAATTGCAGTTCTACTCAGCATGTTGTATGATGACATGTTATGAACGCATCTGGTAGTATTACTGCTGATAATAAACGTACAAGGTGTAATCCTTTAGAACTGTGAAGTGCACAATGCCAGTGGTAAATGTATATGGCCTGTTGAAATAAACAGTATTTTAATTATTTATGTCTTTTGACCTTATAAATTAAATAGGTCATATTTAATATCNTACGAAGAATGTGACATTGTGTTTTTAAATGTTAAATTTTAGACCGGGTTCAGTGTGGCAGCAACGTTAAGAGTATACACCTGATGATGGCCGATAGAGGCCGAAACATGTAGTGTAGAAAGAACAAGATCAAAGACATATAATATATATGGTTTGCACTTGGGACGGAATTTGTATCATTTATCGTATTTAATATCACATTTAAATTGTTTTATCTACCGAGTTCGTAGTTATGAACAGGGAGTTCAATTAATTATATAAATTCAGAACTTAAAATATTATGTTATGTATAAGGAGTCCAGCCACTGTACCAGTTGCACATTAATACCTCAGACTAGTGAAATGAAATGTCACTGCCAAGAGGCCATTACTGACCAGACAACAGGATATGATGAATGTAAATGGCATGGCAAAGTAGTTACAAGAATTTCATAATTGTTTCTTCTGACACACTGCTTAGAAGACCTAGCCATACAAGGTAGGATAATATTAAAATGGATATGAAAGAGCTGTATTTATGTGGCTTGGGATAGGTACTAGTAATGGGCTCTTTTGATCATGGCATTGAACCTTTGAGCTTCATGAAAGGGAGGGAATTTCTTGACCAACTGAGTAAATGTCTACTTTTCAAGAAGGTTAAGTTCTGTAGATATAGGTTTGAACAGTATATTTATTTCTGTGAACACTCATATTTATTCCATTTATATATTTATTTGTTTGATTCAGTCTCCAACAACACACACTTATTGAAGTAAAGGTATACTACTCTGTCCAAAAAGTATCTGACCTTGGGCTGGGAAAAAAAAGCTATGTATCTGGGTGGTTACAATACCTAATCGCCTTCAAAGTAGACCCCTTGTGACTCCACACACTTAGCCCAGCAGTCCTTCCATCGCTGGAAGCAATTCTGGAAGGCTTCTTTTGGAGTGGCGTGCAGCTGCGCCATCACATTCTGTATGATGTCCTCGCGGCTGTCAAAACGGCAGCCTTTTAGCGGTGTCTTCAATCTCAGGAACAGCCAGAAATCACAAGGAGCCATGTCAGGAGAGTAGGGAGCCTGGCAAACCTGCGGAATGCCGTGCTTGGCCAGGAAACCATGGATCGGGTACAATGAATGAGCTGGGGCGTTGTCATGATGCAGCTGCCAGTTGTGTGCGTCCCACAGCTCTGGTCTCTTGCGCTGGACTGCATCACAAAGATGGCGGAGGACTTCTTGGTAGTACTCCTTATTGACAGTCTGTCCTAGGGGTGCATACTCATGATGCACAACACCCCGGTGATCGAAAAAAATGGGTCAGTATCACCTTCACATTGCTCTGAACCTGTCGTGCTCTTTTGGGCCTCGGGGATGTTGGATGCTTCCATTGTGAGGCCTGGACCTTGGTTTCTGGGTCATATCCGTACACCCACGACTTGTCACCAGTAATCACAGTCTTCAGGAACTCAGGATCCCTGTTGGCGCACTCCAGCATGTCCTGCGCGACCTCAAGGTGGAGTTGTTGCTGCTTCGGCAAAAGCAGCTTGGGCACAAATTTTGCCGCCACTCTTCGCATGCCCAAATCCTGAGTTAAAATTGTGTTTGTGGAACCTCTGCTGATCCCAACCTCATCAGCAACTTCACGGATGGCCAAACGATGGTCCTCCATGATCAGTGTCCGCACTTTTTCAACGACATCAGCATTTTGGCTCGTTGATGGTCTCCTGGAATGCTGCTTACTGTCCGCTGACATACGGCCATGTTTAAAGCGATTGAACCACTCTTTAATTTGAGTGACCCCCACTGCATCATTGCTGAAAGCCTGCTGAATTTTGCAAATTGTTTCCGTTTGGGTATCCCCAAGTTTCTGACAAAACTTAATGCAGTATTGCTGCTCCAAGTGTTCTGTCATCTTGAGCGAAATGAGAATGTGACGAACATGTGTTACGCCACTTCGCTATCTGGCAGCCACAGACACCTAGCAGTGTTGCGAGTCAACAAAAAATCACGCATGCGCATTAAAGTCCCTTCTACCACTACCCTCAGTTTCCCCACCCCTTTGGCCATTACTTACAGCAGAAAAAAATAAAATCGGATACTTTTTGGACATACAGTATTTATTTAATTCTTATGGGAAGAGTTCATAAATTTTCTTACAGATTGCTTTGTTCTTACTGAATATGGTTTGTATTGTCTGTGTGTTAAGAGATACTCTATTGGTATTATATTTGTTTGTGGATCAAGTCTGTGGTATTGAAGCTGATCAGAATTACAAGAACCATTTTTTTAAAGAGCAGAAAATATCTTTTCTGTTTAGTCTTTAGGTACTAAGCTCTGTTTTTATGCCATTGCATTCATAATTATAGAGAGGACATAGCAGTAGTGGTCCCATACAAATATAACTGGATGCATTATTTAGGTGCCAGAGGTGTTCACAA